GTACACGTAACATAAATAGGTTATATTACAAGCGTCCCTGCACTGTTCATTTCTACCTGCCAGATTTGTAAGGGAAAGTTTTCCTTGAAGTACTTGGGTGAGAGTACTTTTATTCTCATTTCTTTTCTGTTCGTGCTACATTATTGACAAGTCTAGTTTTGGTTGGAAGTGTAAAGGATGAATAATCTTAGATTAATAATTGCTTAACAAATGTGATCTTAACTTTCTTATTTTGATGTGTCATTTTTTTTTGCCCGTTGAGTGACTAATGGTTTCAGGTTTTTTCTGTGTTTCTGCCAAAAGCAGAGCAGGTTTTAGTGGTTTGATTGATGTTACCAAAAGCTTTAAAGAATGAAATGTCTGTCTGATAAGTGTGCTGCATGGAATTTATATATATATATATATATATATATAGCTGATTACTTGCTCTATATCCTATAGTTAGCATTTCTGACTTCTTTTCTTAATTATATAGTGCAACAGTTGGGTTCCAGAAGTAAAAACTCCATTCATTTTCATTTTCTCCATAGGGAAAGTGATTTTTAATAATACAATAACTTAGATAATTAAACCTTAGACAGACCTACTGTGAGTTGCCAGGATGTAAATTGATGGTATATGCTTTTGTTGAAGCCATCCATTGGTATTTGTTCAACTGATTCTTAAAATGCTGAATTTGTGGTGAAAAACTGCATTACTCATGATACTGTACAGAAAATTCCACCAGTCAGAAACTCGCGGTGAGCAAATTGTGCCAAAAGAACTTGCAGGGAATGGCCACTTCCATGAAACACCGCAAATGACGTGATCAAGTCTCGCTATGCGGTCAAAATACTTAAATAATTGTGTGTATATAAATGCATATTTTGCAATATACTTAAAATACATTATTTCTAAAGATATAATCAACAACATTAAATTAATAGTTATATTTCTCTTTATGGGATTGTAGTTCTTTCCCTCACTAAAGCAGTTAAGTACACAGTCTCATGCCTTTGTCATTTTGTCAATTTCTTGCTTCAAATAATGTAATGTTATGATTCACTTCATAGCTTGTTGGTTTGGTTCATGGCTTATAACGCTTTAACAAAGTATTTTTTAAAATCTCTATGGGAAAAAAATACTTAAGTGCACTGAAAAAGTAGGCAGGCATTAATGCACTCTATTTCGTCAAGTGTTTCAGCACAAAGCTTGTGTATTTCATATCACTAGTGTGTATAGTGTATCTGTTAAGTGTGTATTTCCTGCATTGAGCTGTCTCTTTCAGCCTGTTGTGGCTCATTTGGCCTCTGACCCCGTGCGGCACTCTGGGGCCCTGCTCAGAGCCAGACTGATTACATTAGAGCACTGATAGCGGACGCTCTCCCTATGCCCCACAAATGATGGATGGATGGCTCTTCCTGTGCAAGAAAAAGAGCAAGAGCTACTCCAATGCCCCCCTTCTCACTTCCTCCCTCCATCTGCAGCTGGCCCAGTGCCAAGCTGAGCTTTATACGACGAGGCCCCCGTGCTTGTCCCCTCTCTTAGCGTGGCATGGCCCCAGACAGAGGCATTCCACTGCGTGGGAACTCAGTGCAATCTGTCTGAACAAGAGGGAGGGAGAGATAGGTGCACAGCTGCCCAGGTCCAATCAAAGTGAGAGTGGTGCTGAGTGACAGGTGGTGCAATCAGTGAGAGGTGTTTCTGTGCACTGTGACCCCAGTATGTCAAGTATGTTAATGATTGAAAGATGGTCCCTCGGCTCCTGTGATTCTGATACAATCCATCTTTGTACACTTATTAGAGACTAATACAGATGTCACGTTTTCTAGCGAAGAGAGTTAGATGCATTATGTTAGATAAGACTCATGCACAGCCATGCACAACTTGAAGAATGTATCCATTTCTTGATTAAATTTACCAGTGAACCCATAACTGTGCTGGAAAAAGTGCATAATTTCAAAATAATAATTAAAAAAATATATATTAAAGTGTTTTTTTTACACTTTAATTTCATAATTTAATAAATATTAATTTAATTGCATTAGATAAGATGTACCAAAGATGCCTTTTTTAAAAAATGCAGTAAAAGCAGGAATATTGGGAATTATTACTATTTTAAAATAGCTGTTTTCTATTTTAATATATTTTAAAATACAATGTATACCTGTGATGGCAAAGCTGAATTTTCAGCAGCCTTCAGTGTCACATAATCCTTCAAAAATCATTTTATTATGCTGATTTGATGCTCAAGAAACATTTTTATTATAATCAGTGTTGAAAACAGTTGTGCTGCTTAATATTTTAGTGGAAACCATGATATATTTTGTTCAGGTTTCTGTGATGAATAAGTTCAAAAGAACAGCATTTGTTTGAAATGGAATTTTATTGTAGCAATTTTGTAACAATGATCAATATCTTTTAAATAATGTCCATATACTTTTTTGGCTATTGTGTTAATAAAGTTACATTTAAAAAGCTCAAAGCAGCCACTTTTGGTCCATTTTACCACAACAAAAAATACAGACATATAAATCATACACATAATCATACACTAGACATATACACATATATCACACTGTGGCTGTCAGTGTTTTCTTAAAGGGAAGCGTTTTGCGTGCTGCAGCAGAAATGTTGATAAAGGCAATGGTGGAGTATTACTGCTGTGTTGGCAAGGGTTAAGGTGGATTAAGTTGCAGAGGGTGGGGGAAAACAGCGTTAATGCTAGTTAAGGGCAGCAGTAAGGGTGGGTAGGTTAGTGCTTGTGCATTTGGCAGCAAGTGTGTGAAGGCAGAAAGCACTGGCAGCTCCAGCAGTCAGAGAGGGACGATATGGTTTGGCTTAGAGAGCTGAAGAACAAGCAACTTATCAAATCAATTTGAATTTTGTTTTGGTAAATAGCAACTAGGATGAGTCAGAGAATAAAACATCTCGGAAAAAAAGACATCTCACAGGTTGACCAGCTTGAGAAGAAAGGGATGCTGTGCTCTGGTTTGTGCCTTGGCACTCACATACAGTCCAGTTGGCTTTGACTCTCAGACAGTGAATGTGCTGCCTGTTACAAATACACAGCTCTGACTGACAGCATCTGGAGCGTGTGGGAGAACAGGAGCATGGCAGGGACACGTCTGATTCCTTTCTGTCATTCTTTTGGATTTGTTTGCGAAAACGTATGAGATTTAAATTATTTAAATGTAACGTCTCCCTCACAGGGTGACCATATGTCCTCTTTTTCCTGGAACATGTCCTGGCTGGGATTTCTAAATTGTCTGAAATGTCTGGTGTTTTGGCTTTGTTGTCCTATTGTTTTTTCATACTCACTGAAGGTAATGACTGAAAAGTAGTTTGACCAATAGCATGCAGGCATTGTACATAATCGACCAATCGTGGCGTGTGAGAAGGTGGGATCTGCAGACAATGGTCAAAGCACTGAAATATGTGTAAATATAATGTATGAAGACTGTCCAGAGCATGTCAATAGGAAAACAAATAAATTTTATTAAAAACTTAATTGTTTTTTTTTTTTTACAATAGCATTGGAAACAATATTTTCTTTTGCTTGATGAAGCTGCTGCATCCACACCATTAGGTGTCAAAAGCCCAAGACTCATATTGGCCAGTGCAACAAACAAAAACTTACTGAGTGCCCCTTTAAATGTGTAATTTTGTTTTATTATTATTATTTTTTGCCATGAAGAGATTATGTGTTTTGTTTATTTTTTTGAACCTCAGACCCATTTCTTATAAAGTCAGTCTACCTGTTCAGCTTTTGTGGAAATATATACCGTAGACTCAACACTCTCTAAAAATACTCCTCAGAGTTTTTTTTTTTTTTTTGCCTTGGCTCAAGTTTAAGAAAGTCAAACTGAATGGACACAGACATACAAGTATATATGCACATGCTTATGTACTTTTTCATTTTTTCATTTTGTCTATATGTGCCGTCAACAGATCAAACCATCGGACATATTTTGGCGGGATGTATGTTTATACTTGTGGCTTTTTTTTCAAACCCCTAAGTTGTCTTATTGAGCTGCCCAGAAAAACAGCTGTATGAGAGAGAGAGAGCAGTCAGATAAACATATTCCAAACACAGACGCGCTTTGAGTGTCTCTAGAGTCATAGACTCCAAGACCAGCCCTGGGTGAAAGCTTAAGTAGACCACACGGTTGAAGCAACAGTGCGTAGGCCGAAGGGGAAATGGGCAAATCGGGTCCCCAGGGCCCTCTCGCTGCCAGACCTGCACCGTGCTGGGCTCGTTCTTCAGATGAAGCTCTTAGACAGTGACGACAGATATATCTGTATCTGAATAGTGTGTTTGGGTTTGTAAGAGGGTGTGTAGGTGTGTGGGTGAGAGGGTAAATGGGCGTGATGGGCTTAGTTCGGACATTCATGTACGTCACAAAGTGGGCGAGCGGTCACATTTAATCTATTGGAAAAAATTGAATCATTCACTTGTCAACTCACTAGACAGCCATGTTTTGTCTAGATAAAATAAAGATACATTTTCTTTGGAAGCCAAATTTGATAAGAATAAACCTCATTCAATTCATTTTAATTTATGCTTAAACAGAAAAAATAAACAATTTATTGTTTTAAAATGTATTGTCTTAAAATATTGTTTGTTGTTTTTCAATCAAAAAACCCACTAGATTTTATTTTATTTTAGTTTATGCTTAAAGGTAGAAAGAAATAGATAGAAATTTGCCAATATGGTAAGAAAAAATAAATGTAATATTCTTAATAATAATAATAATAATAATAACATATATAATCTCTCTCTCCCTCTCTCTCTCTCTCTTTCTCTCTCTCGCTCTCTCTCTCTCTATATATATAGTTTGTTTTAGTGAGGTTTAAATATTTTCATTGAAAAAATGTGTTCACAACATGGCCCCCTGGTGCTAATCAAAGTCTAGGTGCATTTTTTTTCTTCAGTGAACTAAATAAAATACTTTTTTAAGTGAAAAATCTGAAACTTGCTAGTCATAATGCTAACATGTTTTCCCAATTTTTCTACTCAGAGACTGAAAGCTGCCCTTGCCCACCATCCAGGGGGCATGGTGAACGGCAGCATGAACTCCATGGGTCATATGATGGAGATGATGCAATCGCGGCAGGATCAGACCGGTCACCACCACCTGCACTCTCACCCCCACCAGCACATGCAAGGCCCACCCCACGGATACCCACACCATGCCCACCACCACCCCAACCATGCACAGAGCGCCCATCACCACCCACAAATTTATTGTCTTAAAATATTGTTTGTTGTTTTTCAATCAAAAAACCCACTAGATTTTATTTTATTTTAGTTTATGCTTTAAGGTAGAAAGAAATAGATAGAAATTTGCCAATATGGTAAGAAAAAATAAATGTAATATTCTTAATAATAATAATAATAATAATAACATATATAATCTCTCTCTCCCTCTCTCTCTCTCTCTCTCTCTCTCGCTCTCTGTCTCTCCCTCTCTCTCTCTCTCTTTCTCTCTCTCGCTCTCTCTCTCTCTATATATATAGTTTGTTTTAGTGAGGTTTAAATATTTTCATTGAAAAAATGTGTTCACAACATGGCCCCCTGGTGCTAATCAAAGTCTAGGTGCATTTTTTTTCTTCAGTGAACTAAATAAAATACTTTTTTAAGTGAAAAATCTGAAACTTGCTAGTCATAATGCTAACATGTTTTCCCAATTTTTCTACTCAGAGACTGAAAGCTGCCCTTGCCCACCATCCAGGGGGCATGGTGAACGGCAGCATGAACTCCATGGGTCATATGATGGAGATGATGCAATCGCGGCAGGATCAGACCGGTCACCACCACCTGCACTCTCACCCCCACCAGCACATGCAAGGCCCACCCCACGGATACCCACACCATGCCCACCACCACCCCAACCATGCACAGAGCGCCCATCACCACCCACAAAGCCACGGGCACCACAACTCCCACCCGCCCCACCTGCACCCTGCACACGGACATCAGACCTCTCCACACCAACCAATGCACTCTGCTGCTTCACAGGTACTGAACTGGAGTGAGATACAGTTGTTGAGGGTCTAATGCTGCAATACAAGTGATGTAGAGATTGATGAGTTAAGCTGAATTTAAATGTTCAAGTTTACTTGAGTTGGGATAAATTAACGGAGAGAGAGTAAAAAAACAACAACAACTGGGGCCATATTGTGAACATGTGTGAGATTTTTTTTTTCCCTCCAGAGTTTATATATAAAAACTGTACATTAAAATGTAAATACTTTTTATTTCTAAATTAAATTAGTTGAAAATAAAGTTTAAAAAAAATGTCATAATGAAGAAAAAAAACCATTAAAAGAATGACATTCTTAAAAATAAAAAAATTAAATAAATAAATAACACTTTAAGTTTTCTTGAAGTATTATTAATATTTAAGAAAAATTTTGTCTGCCAGATCAAAGTTATGTGGTGCAACCAACATGCAGAAACACACACACACACACACACACACAAGAAATTATATAATAGAAAGGTACCTGCAAACTCAAGGCCAATAAGTCTCTTAAAATAGCAGATATTTTGACCTGATTATGACAATGCAAGGTTAGTTCAGGTTGTAAAATGTAATGTGATGCAAAAAAAGTAATGATATTTAATAAAGTAAAGATTCATAATGTTTTTTAAAAATACTTTTTATTTTGAAAGTATGTAAAAAAAAAAAATAGGTGTACATTCACGTGTTCAATATGAAAGGAAAATGTATGTTGCTGAAAATGTAAGTTGTAAATGAAAACAGTTCTTATGTATTACTTGCACCACATTTTTGTTGAAAATGATATAAAAGGTTTTCAAACCCATGTAAACTAAAGAGTACATTTCTAAGAACTTTGGCACATGTGTTTTAAACTAGATTTTTACTCTCACTGTTATTTGTATTAACCTGTCTACTTAAAATTCTCTTCAGGTCTTTAGGGTGACTGAATCCATCTTTTTGTGATTCAGAAGTTCTGCTTTAATGTATTATTAAGCCAATGAAGGGGCCCTGTATACATACAAACCATCAAAGCCACTGCATTTTCCATCGCCTCCAGAAACCTGTAATGATCTAAAGACGGCAAACATGGCAACTGCCAAGCATATGTCAAAGAAGCTTTTTGTGGGCCTTGTACACTGGTAGTGGCCCTGTTTTTCAGGGTGTTGTAGAGTATTGGTCCGAGTGGACATGTGCAGTGGAAAACTGGGCCCTGACACCTCTTTATGAGGGTGGGGCAGCCTGTAAATCACACTGCTGTTTCTCACACCCAGATGTCCATCATAGGACTGTAGGGCCACGTGCACAGGGCACATGTTGTTTTAAAGAAAACTCCCAGACAGGAAGCTTCTGACTGAAGAGGTCTGAGCGATGAGATGTTAGACAGGTGATTGGCTGGCAGCCAGGTCTGTGAATATATGAATATGATGCCTCAGGGGAGAATTGTAACTTCAGACTGTTTGTTGTCCCGTATTTTACAGTTATCTCCAGCTGCACAGCAAATGCAGCCGACGCAGACCCTTCAGTCCCCGCCGCCCAGCGGAGGGCGCCGCAGACGGGTCATGGACGAGGACCCCGACGAGCGCAGGAGGAAGTTCCTGGAGAGGAACCGCGCGGCTGCCACACGCTGCAGACAGAAGAGGAAAGTGTGGGTGATGTCGCTAGAAAAGAAAGCGGAGGAGCTCACCCAAACCAACATGCAGTTGCAGGTCAGAATCACTCATTTGTACACTTCTCCTCAGCTGAAAGCCTCTGTTCTTAAGCGTTAAAAAGCACACTTCACTTTGGAACACACACTGAGATGTATTTCACGCGGGGCTTCATATTTCACTCGGTATTAGCTTACTCTAGACCACAGAAGCTCATAAACACCCTTGATTTGACAGCTGAAGCTACTGTCGATGGAGAGCAGATGGGGACGGCTGTGTGGAGGGCAGGGTCAATGGGTTATTGAGGTCTACAGAGTAACCAGAGCACAGCCAGCTGCAGCTGAAAGTGCGGTTTGTAGGCCAGTAAAACCTCTGTGCATCATGGCACATCTCATCTGCGAGAGCTTTCCATTCATACGCATCCATTTGGGCTCTCAGTAGACCTTGAATTTGCATGGAGATTTACCTGAGAGATTGATGCTGTGTCATGTAAGTCTGTTTTGGAGGATATCCTGCACTACCCACAGCTTAACCCAGTCAAGCTGGTTTTCAGCAGGTCTCCAAGCTTGATTGAACTGGTGTACAGGTGATCGCCTGCTGGTGGTCCAGTCTGACCAGATGACACATATCTAAAGCCCCCTCTAAAACCATGAAACCAGAACAGCTTGACCTCTTTTGGACATGGTGATCATCCTCATCAGGCCACATCATTCGCTCTCTGCTTATCTGAGCAAGCTGAGGTTAACCTGTCTTGCTCAAGGCCACAGTCGATGCTTCGCTGGTTGCAATTAGTGTGGTTTGAACCTTTCAATTACCAGCCTACATTTTTAACCACTAGGCCACGCCATTCCTACTAATGCTAGGCAATGTAAGGTACTTGTGATGTATTCACAAAGATTTTGCTGACAATAAAGATTTGAATTCATTTTGAATTCGTTTTGTGAACCCTCTTTGCCTCATGACTAAAATCGAATCAGTTGAAGACACTGATATATTCGCATTGTGACTCAAAAATGTTCATTGAAGTCTCTGTATGGCAATTTACATATATTGAAATATTTACACTGTAACGTTCAGATCTTTGGGTTTGGTCAGACTTTTCTTCTCTCCATGCTCACCAAGAATGATCAAAAATACAGTAAAAACAATAACCGTTTTCTATTTTAATTTATTTTAAAATCTAGTTTATTCCTGTGTTGGTAGAGCTGAATATTCAGCAGCTATTTCTTCAGTCTTCAGTGTCATATGATTCTTTAGAAATCATTCTAATATGCTGATTTGTTGCTCAAGAAACATTTCTTATTATTATCAATGTTTATAACAGTTGTGCTGCTTAATATTTTGGGGAAACCATGTTTTTATTATTATTTTTTTTTGTAAATAGTTCAGAATGTAATTTATTTGAAATAGAAATCTTTTGCAACATTATTTAATTATTTACTGTCAGTTTCATCATTAATGTATTCTTGCTGAATAAAAGTATTAATAAAACAAAACAAAAAACATACGGACCAAACTTTTGAATGGTAATGTATATTTAGCAAAAAAAGAAAAAGTATATATATATATATATATGTATGCAAACATTTCTGTTTATTATGATGTATTCTTATTCTGGTGCATATAAATGAAACTTTTCAATATAATTCTTCCTTTATTTTAGTAAAAAACAAGCCTTCATTTTTCTTTTTGCATTAACTATATTAAATTAAATTTGCTTTGGTTGAAATTAAGGTTCCTCTGAAAAAAAAAATATGATGATATACTGTATGTTTTATATTGTCAAAAAGTTGAAAAATAGTGAGATATAAACACCCAGCCCAAGTTCCCACTAACAATAGAACAAAACATGTTAAATGTGTTTGTTTTTCTTTGTTATTGCATAGTTTGCTGAGGTGGGACAGAATACTCATAGACACCCTGGCACTCCCATAGTCCCATTGTTCAGGCTTGTTTTGTGAAATATTCACCCCACAGTCACAAACATGGTACCTGTCAAAGCGAGGATTCTTCTCCACCAAGCATCCCTGAAACGCTGCCATGTTTTCATATTGGTTCTGCTAAATCATTTCATCAAATTCAAGAACTCTGTGTGATCAGACGCTTGTGTTTCCCACAACGGTAATTGTAGGGAATTCACCGCCTGTTCATTATGAGGTTTTCTAATGAGACCCAGACTTGTCTGGCCTTTAATTCATTGTGTCTGCTGGGAGGTTTGATGTGAAGCTGCCAATACATCCACAAGAGACCTTTTCCCAACATGTTTGTCATAATTATGTTAAGTATCGCATGGTTTATGACAAAAACAGAACATCCTAAACATGTGTGCCTTTGTTTAAATTTGTTTACATACTAAGGAACCATAGGGGCTAACTGTCACAAACGTGATTTCCCAAACACAGCTTAAACTTAATCTTAAACTACAAAGGAATTTCAATAGACAATAACTCTTAAGCAGTCAAATCCAAGCCAAACTGTATCCAGGAAACTTGTGAAATATACATGTTTTTATCTGAGAAATAATGAGGATAATTGTGAAATAATTATGTTGCTACACATTATGTTTTGTTTTATGTCTGTAGCCAAAGTGTATGACTGGATATTTCACTAGCAATTAGTTATTAAGTTCCTGTAAACACTGAGGGATTTTTTTTGTAAGTGTTTCATGTTATTATTGTTTTTATTGGCAGAACGAGGTCACCATGCTAAAGAACGAGGTGACACAACTGAAACAGCTTTTATTGACACACAAGGACTGTCCCATCACCTCCATGCAGAAAGACTCTCAAGGTTACCTCAGTGAGTACCATCACACACCCACACAGCCAGAGGTGGCATTACGTAATAACGAATATACTGTATATTGTTTGTAGGACGCACCCACTGATATAGATACTTGTGACATTTTTTAAATGTTTGGAGGCTGCCACTCCCTGGTTATAGAGGAGGGGAAAACACTAATTTTCTCAGTCACTGACAAACCAGTTGCCTAGCGGTGTTTATGATGCAGAATTATTGTTTCCATTTTCACTTTGAAATAAATGTCTTCAGGTAATGTACACTGCCTGTCTTTCTAAACGTCCAAATTCATCAATAATTAATGAAGTTGTGAATATTTAAATATTCATATCAATGTGGTGTTTATTATTTTCACAGTCTTCTCATAGGAAACAAAAATCACAAATGAGATCTCTTTAATATCTCAGTTACTTTTCCTAAACTCAGCCACTCCCTGGTTATAGAGGAGGGGAAAACACTCATTTTCTCAGTCACTGACAAACCAGTTGCCTAGCGGTGTTTATGATGCAGAATTATTGTTTCCATTTTCACTTTGAAATAAATGTCTTCAGGTAATGTACACTGCCTGTCTTTCTAAACGTCCAAATTCATCAATAATTAATGAAGTTGTGAATATTTAAATATTCATATCAATGTGGTGTTTATTATTTTCACAGTCTTCTCATAGGAAACAAAAATCACAAATGAGATCTCTTTAATATCTCAGTTACTTTTCCTAAACTACAAGTATCCGGATGGATGGATGGATGGACATATGGTTGGTTGGATGGATGGAAGGAAGGATGCATGGATGGACAGATTGATGGACAAATAGACAGGCATATGGATGGATGAATAGATGTATGGATGGGTGGATGGTTGGACAAATAAACATATCGATGAGTAGATGGATAGATGGACAGATAGACAGGAGATCGATGGATGGACAGATAGACAGACATGTGGATGGATAAATGGATGAATGGAGAGATAGACATATGAATGCATGGATGAATGGATGTATGGTTGGATGGATTGATGGCTAGACAGATAGGAAATGGATGGATAAATGGATGAATGGACAGATAATAATTATAATAATTAGTTACATTTATATAGCGCTTTTCTGGGTACTCAAAGCGCTTAACATGAAAGTGGGGAATCTCCTCAACCACCACCAGTGTGCAGCATCCACCTGCTGCCATAGTGCGCCAGAACGCCCACCACACACTAGCTTATTGGTGGAGAGGAGACAGAGTGATGAAGCCAATCAGTGTATGGGGATGATTAGGAGGCCATGATGGTCAGAGGCCAATGGGCAAATTTGACCAGGATGCCAGGGTTACACCCCTACTCTTTTTCGAAGAACTATGGATAGATAGAGAATGGATGGATGGACAGATAGACATATGGATGGATAAATGGATGAATGGACAGATAGACATATGAATGGATGCATGGATGGATGGACGAATAGACAGATGGATGGATGGAAATATGGATAGATAGGGAATGGATGGATGGACAGATAGACATATGGATGGATAAATGGATGTATGGACAGATAGACATATTAATGGATGCATGGATGGATGAACAAATAGACAGATGGATGGATGGATGGATAGGGAATGGATGGACGGACAGATAGACATATGGATGGATGAATGGACAGATAGACATATGAATGAATGAATGCATGCATGGATAGATGGACGAATAGACAGATGGATGGATAGATGGACAATTAGATGGATGGATGGATTGATGGATGGACAGATAGACGGATGGATGGATAGATAGGGAATGGATGGATGGACAGATAGACATATGGATGGATAAATGGATGAATGGACAGATAGACATATGAATGGATGCATGGATGGATGAATGAATGAATGCATGGATAGATGGACGAATAGACAGATGGATGGATGGATAGATAGGGAATGGATGGATGGACAGATAGACATGAATGGATGCATGGACGAATAGACAGATGGATGGAAGGATGGATGGATAGATGGGGAATGGATGGACGGACAGATAGACATATGGATGGATTAATGAATGAATGAATGAATGCATGGATAGATGGACGAATAGACAGATGGAGGGATAGATAGATGGACGAATAGATAGATGGATGGATGGACAGATAGACAGGGAATGGATGAATGGACAGATAGACAAATAAATGGATGAATGGACAGATAGACACATGAGTGGATGCATGGATGGACAAACAGTCTAAAAGGACAGATGGATAGATGGATTGACAGATGGACTGACAGACAGCTGAATGGATGCAACCAGACATCTTCATCTCTCCTCTTGTCCCTCAGGTCCAGAGAGCAGTCCGGCAGGAAGTCCTACCCCTGTAACCCAGCAGCAAGTCATCCAGCACAACACCATCACCACCTCCAGCACAGCACCCAATCACCGCACAGATATTAACCCCATCCACTAGAGACTCCAGCCCCTGACGCCCTTTAACACGCTGGACATCCCGACTGCAAATCCTGGACAGACACACACCTCTGTGCCTAAGTGGCTGCTTATTCATCTGTTTTCAATTTGTAAATGTAAACTGATTACCATTTAGTTTAGTTCTGTGTGTTTTATGTCTCCATTCGTGTCTGCTTAAAAAAAGGGAGTTTCATAAACCATTGGGCACCATCTCGCTTGTCAAGGACATCACTAATGGAAACGCAACTGTTACATCTGTTCCTGGATTTCTGCTGGACCACTGCCTTTACAAATTGCAAAATTCAGATAGCTGGATAGCTTTTTCTATGAATTTTCCATTGCCAAAAAGATGCTGTCCTTTCCTTTTTGTTTATTGTTATAACAATTACTCTCACAGTCCCCTTTTTATCAAATTCAAAAGGATAAATTAGGAAGGTCAGTCTCCATTGGGAGTTCCTAATGAAAGTAACCTGAAGCAATATGAATCTCTGACATGCTCAGCAATCTGATTGTCTTCACTTGCTCGCTCGGACCAGAATCTAGATCAGATTAAGTTCAACCTATTAGCTCCTGTCATTTCAGATATAATTTCAAAAGTTATTTTCTTAAAACAAAACAGCTTTGGGCTCCTAAGCTGGTACAGATCATGTAAATGGAATGCATTTATCAGGCTCACACAGGCTCCTGTGAGCATATGCCCTGCTGAACATGTGTGATATTTCGGAGTATTCCCAGAGTGGCGAGTTCACAGCTGCAATCGTGTTGCACCAGGAAGACATCTCACTTGGCGTTTCTGTACAAACATTTCAGAAGATACCATCAACTGTTTCATTTTAAGTTGGTGTAATTTCTGGTCAGATTTACCCCTGGACCTCATCAGTTTGCATATTACTTCTTCTGGCAGTTCATTTCGGTATCTGTTTTCGATCAGCAAGTGGACTAAGTATTACACACATACTTCAATACATTTTTATGTATGTTTTGTGCTCATATGTGGGCCTTCCAACCAATGCACTCCAACTAATCTTGCACCAAAAATAATGCCATGGAAAACTTTTGGCAGCTTTCGCTTTACCTGAGGCTATGGAAAACATAAATGCTACTTAAAATTAGCTTTCGTTTTTGCTCAAAGTATTGTTTAGATCTTCCTCGGGCATTCTGACTGTGATGTAAATTTAATTTAATAGGCTTAAATGTAAAAGGATATATTTTGATACATAGTCTTGGTTTGTTTGGTGCCTAGGAAATCATATGAGGCTTCTTTCTTGACATGGACCATAGTCAATTCTGCATTTGACTATAGTCTTTATGAAACCGTCAAGCCCCAACAAAGGTGCTGTTGGTTTTGAGATGTTAGTATACAGTCAGCAGCTTACTGTAAGGGGCAGTTCACGAAGAATGCATTTTCACATTTATAAAATGCAAGATGAAAATGGCAAAAGGCAGGTTCTCAAGATGCGTTTTTATTTGAAACTTCTTACAACTTGACAAGGGCTCGAGATGCAAAAGGCGTTAAAAAGCAGCAACACAGTGCAATGCCATTTTAATGGCTGTCTCAATCACTAAATCCTTCCAATACACTGGAATGTTCGCTCCCTAAAAAATCTCACAATGCACCACAAAAACCAGGGTGCATTTATGGTTACTATGTTCCCTTACTGGAATACACATGCCGTTTTCTGAACCGCGTAAACTCATAGTATTACACAATAGAAGGTTTGATGGTGGCATTTTACAACTCGGAAACAGTGTCCCAATGTGTAATGAACCAGGGTTCTTACCTGTGTACACGATATACTGATTCACGATCTAGGGAGCTGATTGAGATGCACCCGAATAAAAGTCACGCAATGGAACGCGAAAACGCATTCTGTGTGAACTGCCCTAATAATAAGATTCCAATGTGACCTTTGTAAGGGATGTGTGGGCAAGATCCCATATACCTCATGAGTGTATGATCATGGACTGATGAGCTATAAGATGGCCGCTGTCACTTTAAGACATTGAGTCCTAAATACCTTAAAGACCATGACACACCAAACCAACATTAAAGAACTAGCGGCGATGAAAGCCGACTGTGTTGCTTCGCCTGTGTCTGGGCTAAAAAGTTGCCGCAAAGGCTACAACCAAAGGCCGACTAGTACATACATTCTGCATACGCGTGAAAAGAAAAAACTTTCCATACCAGCAGGTGGCAGTAGTCGACAACAGTATTCATCATTCAAAAATGGAAACCAAAACGTAGGACTACAGAAATACAAACCATAAACAAAGCAGTGTTTCTTACAACTTTCTTCATTTCAGAGATTTTTCGTTGCCATATCATTATGAAAATATTTGCATACTGGAATGCTCAGGTTGGACGTTGTAAAATTAGAACAGCCATCTGTGTGCGGCCTCTTGACTTGAGTTATTTGCTTGTTTTCGTAACTTTTGTTTTTCTTCTTGCGCGCTGGTTCTTTCTCACCAACTTGCTCAATCGGCCAAAAAGCCACCAATGACGTTAATGACGGCCTGGCGTTAGCAGACAGCCAACTGTTGGCTTGGTGTGTCACGGACCTAAGTTGCATTTTCCTTGTCTAATTGCAAATAATGACGCAATATGGTCCACTTTAGTTTTTCTCCGCTGCGAAAATGTAGCATTTTACTATTTCTACACAGTTACTGATCTAGACCGATCTAGATACTGCTTTCCAAATGTCACTATGTGCCTGAATACGTCTTAAATACTCACAGAGGGAAGAATGTCAGTCCTTAGTAATACCTTGATTGCATTTATCAAGGTCTTGACATTGTTTAGATTTTTTTGGAAAGACTAACTACTAGTGTTTTATTGTGGACACTGTTTTGTTCCGGACTCATTTTGGTATTAAAGGACTTTTCTACCTTCTTGAACCAAGGAGGCCTGTGATGAGAATACAGGCAAGCTGGAAATGTCTTAGCATCACGAGGAGAGAAAAGGGCCTTTTTTCCAGCAGCTAAGCTCAGAACTCTGTTTCATGTTTTTCACAGTTTGTAGAGGAATTTTCATCCCTCCTAAATGGAACATATTGATTCCCTTCGCCTTGCCTCGTAGCACTGTGTTTGGAACAAGAGCGTGCAAAACGACCTCCACATTGAGAGGTGGAAGTCTTGTAGCTGTCTATGCACTTTGACCTCTGTGAGCAGCAGAGGATGGAATAGCCATATAGAAGACTCAGCGATTCCCAGTTCCCACACCAGCGAGAGCCAGCCACTGTCAATCTATGGAGTAACGCAACTTGTACGGACCAATGGGATTGGACCCTTGAAAGGATCACCCCAAGAAGGACACAATTCGAACCCTGAAGGCTTGGGTTTTGGAGGTGCTCCTGTAGCTTTAAGACTTAAAACTGTCCCTTTAGATAAAACCTGTTTGTCACACTGTGAAATGGGTGACATCGAGGTGAACTGGAAACATGATTGTGCTTTTATTGTTGATTTTGTTGGACCTGATGGTGGTTTGGTTGTTTCCCAGCATAATTCACATAGGATAGTTCACCCAAAAATGAACATTGTCATCATTTACTCACCCTCATTTCATTGCATACTTGTATCTTTCTTAACTTTTTTCTGCAGAACACAAAAGAACATATTTTGAAGAACTTTTTACAGTTTTGTCCATACAGTGAATGTCAATGGGGTCCAAACGTTGCAAACTTCGAAAAGGATGTAAAGGTAGTGTAAAATATAAAATCATTGATTAAATACTGTATGGTGATTCATTGAATCAAAATCATTGATTTGATTTGAGAGCGAATAACCACTTTGCTTTCTTCAGTGATAGTATCGTTTCAGAAGACTGGAGTTGATTGGATTCGTTTTACGCTAGCTTTATTTATTTTTTGGTTCTTGAAACTTTTGGACCCCCATTAACTTTCACAGCACGGACAAAAACACGCTAAAGCATTTGTCAAAATATGTTCTTTACTGTTACAATTACATTTACTGTTGTTCACCAAATTTTTGTTGGACGAAATCCAGTCATTTCAACAGGAATCCATGAGAACAGGAATTTCGTGTGATGGAGAAAGGTTTCCCTACACAGATTTTGCAACTGATTCACTGCACTGACCAGAACAGAAACTGCTTGGTTTTAAAGTGTCAATAGTGTATAGATGTATAAAGCACAGCTTACACAGACGTCAATAGACAATGTACCTTTTTTACCCAATGTGACCACACCTGAAATGATGATCAATTTTTTTTGGGTGAACTGTCCCTTTAAGTAACTCAATGTTTTCTGTGCATGTAGCATCATAATGTGGTTTCGAATGGGATTCTGATGCCCACAAAGGGTGTGAGTTTCAATGTTTTTGGATTGTGAGCTTGAAAGTTAACTTGAGATCTGTGCACGCATGCATTTTCAGTCTCGTTGACATCTCAGACTTCACACTCACAAGTTTTGCAGTGTTTAACCCTATGTGATGATGTAATAATATGGTGGGAGGGGCTTGCTAAAAAGCAGTTTGGATCTCTATGGAGGACTTTAAACTGTCTAAAGTTGCATTGTAGTTAATCTCCTGCATCTTTACACTTCAAAGCAAGGTCAGGAGCGTATCTACGCAGGGCCACGTCATCTCTTACCCAAGCAACATAACATACAAGAACACACTGAACTGGAAATATTTCACTTACTCCCAGTGAGTAACAAGCATTAATCTCAAATTTGATTTGGCATCAGTCCTTGTTAGGATGTTGGATGGATGTCTTTTGTAATAGCATTCTTATAAAACGGAGGGAGTGTTTTTTTGTGTGCGCGTGAGTATATATGTGCTTTTGTGTGCATAGTTTAAAAATATAAATATTTTAGGTGGAGGACAATGAATACACAGTAATAAAACTATAAATGTATCATTGCCACAAAACTATAAATATTGTATAAATTTTCATACATTTTTGTAATCTTGTTCCCGTAATGCAACCACCTTTCTTTTTGAAAGGAGTACATGTTTGGTACTTGTTTGTAAATAATGTTTGCATAGCACTTGCAGTCTACAAATGTTTGCCTGTTCATTTCAGAGCTGAAACATTGCATTGTTTGCTACGCATATTGAATTCATGAATTCACACACGCTTGCATAACTTTGTATATTTTATGTTTATTAATGCCTTGAACAGTTTGTGTTTATGCAAATGTACAGATGTGAGATCACAACAGCTATATTACAATATGAAAATAAAGCACTTGTTCTGTAACAAAGCTCTGCCAATTCATGATTTTGTCACTTACAAAACATGCAGCTTGTTAACATTAAAAATATAAGATTGCGGTATTGACATTTTCAAGTACTGCTTTTCACATTTTTCTTTCATGTTTTGCATGAGAACTAGAGCTTTAGTCTGCAGAGTACTTCTGAAGGTGACAATCACAAGCGTTCAATTTTTATTTGATTATTTAATGTACTAGGGTCCCCTGGATTTTGATACAGATGCACACATTGGACATTACAATATAAAGTAGCCAATAGCATATATACCAAAATAAATAAATGAACACTTATTTTGCTCAATATTTATGCACTAAATACATTGATAAAATACTGTCACATACATGTTTAGAAAAAATGTCCAAGAAAGGTGTGTACCTTACAACTTGTCACTGCAGAACCCTTCAAGAGACAACTTTGTACCTTTATTTATATAATTTATATAAATAATATTTTTAAATAAGTTATCACATACTGTAAATTATAAATTATAATAATTTAATTCTATGATTAATAATAATAATAATAATAATAATAATGAGGATTATGATTATGATGATGATGGATGATGATGATGTTCTTATCATCATTATTATTATTTATATATTATATATATATATATTTAAAAAAAAATAAAAGGTTGAAAACAGTAATGTTTGAATAGGACTGACTGGTTGCAAAAACCTTAACATTATCATGGCCAAACAACCAGCAATATAAAAATTGACATTAAAAAACAAAAAATTTAGCATGAAGTAATACAAGTGCCATATACATTTAAGACATTAATTGTAGAAAACGCGTACATTCATAGGATAAATGCCACATAGATTTTATAAGTAACAACTACCAATATGAAATATTCGTTTTTGTTTTTTTTTATACAGCCAGCTGTCGCCCCCTGCCGGACACACGAAGAAAATGCTGTTAAAAACACCGAGGACACAAACGGCTAAAAGTTCAAGACACTTCATTAAATATAAATGCGTTTCATTATTTTTGGCATGGTGTGCTATTGGCGAATCTATATATTCTATCTAGCCTATTTTTGATTTCCAATCCTAATATAAAATGAACCTGTTTCCTTCCTGTTAAAGTAGTTCATACCAGTCTTGAATGTCTACCTCTGTTATTTCCTTTCTTGCTTCTTCCTCTCATCTTCTGTATGCACTGAAGCACATCTTTTATTCTACAGTTTACAGTACAGCATTGCACGCCCTGTAAGAAAACTAACATACTAATAGAGGCTGTTATTGGTCACACTTTAGTCTGGGGACTAATTCTCATTAACTACGACGTCCGTCTCAATAAACTATTAATTTACTGTTTATTAATAGTAAGGTAGTCGTTAAGGTTAGGTATGGGATCGGAGTAAGGGATCTAAAATATGGTCATGCAGAGTAAGGCATTAATATGTGCTTTGTAAGTACTAATAAACAGCTAACATGCTGGTAATATTCATGCTAAAAACCAACTAGTTAATAACAAAAGTGTCACTGTTTGTTGTTGTATTTATTTCTTTTGCTAGCTGTGCAGATACAAGGAGTGAATAATTATGCTGGCATAGCTAACTAAAAGTAACGATCATCACACTGAATAGATGAAAATATCCATCTGGATTCAAAAGACAACAAGATAGGTAGTACATTATAATCAAATCACACTTTAATCAAAAATTGATCATGTACAATAAAACCATAGCCCCGACACTTAACACGTAGCGCAATAAAAATATAACCCCTAACCCTTTTTCATAATAGCACACAGACTTCTGCACTGAAACACACATTACACAACTGAACAACGATTCATTCAGTGGTCACTTTACATCAGGGGTGTCAAAAACTCAATTCCTGGAGGGCCGGAGCCCCAGTGTTCCAACCCTGTTTTCAAATAAGTCTGAAGGACTTGATTAGTTGGATCAGGTGTGTTTTATTTAAACTCTGCAGGGCTCCGGCCCTCCAGGAATTGAGTTTGACACCCCTGCTTTGCATTCTATATGAATTTAGTGTGT